ACAAACAAGGCACCCAGAAGATTTCACTGGATGAGCTATTATTATTGGCTGACTGAGCCCCCCATTTGTCCAGCTTCACCCTAAGGGCCTCAGGGACAATCCTGCTCCCCACACTTACCTGAAGCCAGAGCATAGTTCCATCTCTTTGCACCTGTGAGAAGAAAAGCTGTGAGAGACCAGGAAAGATCCAACCCTAGGAATTTTCCAGAACTGACAGCAGACCCAGGTCAGAGACAGGAGCAATGAGGGGTGTGGATGTTTTCCATTAGTGAGGCAGAGCACACTTCTAAAAGGGGCTGAGAGAGAACCAGACCCTGCCCTTTCCTACCTGTGTTTCTCCTCATCCACCACACAGGAGCCACCACAGCTCCAATGATCACAGCAACAACAACAATGATTGCCATGATGAGGAAAGTGAACTGAGGAGGCTCTGGAAGGGAAGGACAGGAGGGGAGAGGAGGGTCATGACCCCAGCTCTCAGCCCTGACACTGCTCAGGGTCTGCAGAAGGCTCCAGCTTCCCCTGACCCCAGCTCTGCACCCACACCCTCCTTACCCCATCTCAGGGTGAGGGGCTCAGACAGCCCTTCATGGTACACATGGCATGTGTATCTCTGTTCCTCTCCAGAAGGCACCACCACAGCTGCCCACTTCTGGAAGGTTCCATCCCCAGAAGGTCTGGTCTCCACCAGCTCTGTGTCCTGAGTCTGTTCCTCCCCATCCCTCTGCCAGGTCAGGGTGATGAGGACAGGGTAGAAGCCCAGGGCCCAGCACCTCAGGGTGACTTTCCCTTCAGGGCCAGGATGATGGGTCACATGTGCCTTTGGGGGATCTGCAAGGACGATTTAAGAAATCCCACAATTAACAAGATAAACTGAAATCTGCAAACACAAAGTTAAACCAATGATGACACTGAACTGTGTCTGTTTGGACAATTCTGTCATCACACTAGTGACCTCAGGGAGAGCTGGTCCCCTCATCACAGAACTGCACACTTTCCTGGGGGGACTCAGTATCTAAGAGGGAATCCACATGAGCCAGCAGGTCAGCATGGTCTTTCTCATGTGATGTTCTATAACATTAGTTAGGTAGTAAAAGAATGAAAGGAAAATAGTTAATTTATATATGTGATTAATTGATAACAAAATAATAAATCAGGTACAAAGGCTACATGTAGGGTGCCACCAACTCCTGCTGCCAGCACTGAGGCACAACCACTGTGGCCATCTTGCTGACCAGCATAACTGTCTGTCCAAGTGAACAGCCATCACCAAAGTGTGCAGCAGAAATGTGGTGAACCTCTGACACTCAGCCAGAAAAAATGACTCCCCAAGCCCTGCCTCTGGGGGACAAGACACAAGGTATTGTCACCAGGAGCCCTGGAAGTGTGCTGTGGAGCCCAGGGCAGCACTCCCTGGGACACAGCGGTGCTCACAGGGGTGTGTGGATCGTCCCTGTCACTCCTGTCCTGGAGCTGCAGAAGACCCTGTCTCTGAGGAAGTTCAATTCCTAATCCACTGGGGCAACACTGTGACTTGTTGAGTCAGAGGGAGAGCAGGAGGGCTCTGGATGTTAATATGGCAGAAAACAGTCTAAGCTCACAGGAGCCTTTCTAGTGTAAAGGAAACACTGACTTTGTCTAATTATCCAGATTAGCGTTTCCGCTGGCAAGTGGAGATGATACAGATGATAACACGTAGGAAGAGAGAAGCAATACCATGCCAGTGAGGAAGAAAAACTGACTAAAAGCAAAATAATATCAGAGAGAAAGGAACCTGCATAATTTAGTATTCACCCAGGGTACGCCATAAGTGCTCACGTGACCATTCTGGGAACAGACGTAATTGGGGTGTGAGGGATGCAACCTCATCCACAGGAATATGGGAGAAAGTATCTTTGGAAAGTTCTAGAAACTGTGGAACCAGCCTAGGGTAGGGGCGTCCATGTCTCCCAT